TCGAAATAAGAATAATATTCAATGTGCTTCACTCATTTAACTTCGGTTTGATGATTTCAAGGTGCTTCTTCATACTCCGATTATGTGATTATATGATTTCTTGTGTTCGCTATTGTCATCTGATCTGACGTGCATACTGTTTTCTTTTTTGATTGATCATTAACTCAGAAAACAATTTCATTTGCTTTGAAGAGTCATATATTTACTCAAAAATATTATGTGTCGTTATATTGCTTTTAAGTTGTTATTGATGCTGACGAAATCACTTATGCAGGTTACCCACACATCAGCAGCCACCAACCAACTCTCTTCTGGACAGTCCCTTCCAATCGCTCTCCATCCTTTTCTCGTCTGCTTCCGAGTCTCTGTTCAGTGTGTTATTTGGCCTTACTCCTTTCACTTTCACCTCGGAATTCCATGTAGGCGCTTGCCTCACGATGCAGCAGAACTAACTTGCGTGTTGTTCGTGTTGAAACTTCTGACTTTGGTCGTGCTTTATCACTGGAAAGCTGTCTGGTAAATTTCGCTTATGTTCAGTTACTTAGAAGAATAAACGTTTGTTGGTTAAGTAGAGAACTACATTAGAATATGAAACATGGAAATTCGCAAAACGTTTTTCACAAAATTCAGAATGTACATGTTCAACGTTGTGATTATGAAAATGAAACCGACCAGCTAAATTGATTGAAAATTTTAACTGAGAAATAGCATGAATTACAATTTCAAAGTCATAAAATGTCCATTTCGCTTATGAGAAATTCGAGGGTACATAGAGTTTGCGCGATGGAAGTATAGAATTGTCGACAGTACTCTTCTGCTTGTCTTCTTATCATTGCACTACCACGTCTCTAAATGTTGTTGAAATCAATATGTTTATATGACAAAATTCGCATATTCATCTGTCTTCTCACTTCTATCATCCTCGTCAATTTAAATCAAAGAATAATCGTTTGCTCTGCGTTTGATTAAGAGTGAAGACAAGTTATTGCAGATTGGATAGTTTGCTTTGTAATCTAGCAACAAATGTGTTATTCAAATAATTCTCAAATCATGAACGAAAAATGCATTCGAACATTATGTATCACTGTTTATAAATACCTATATCATTTTGATAATATTTGTAGTAGTTCTCTTAGTCCCCGTTATGTAGAGCAGAACCAACTGTCTTGATGTTCGCATTGAAAATTGTAGCTTGTGTTCGTGTTCTCTGGGTTGTGCTTGGGAGTCTTGTTGTTTCTGCTTTATCTTTCCGAGCTTACTGATATTTAATCTGTCACTTAGAAACAACAACGAATTCTTGTATGGTTTTAGTTTTCTTAATTGTTTTACACGAAATTGGGATAACAAATTTATTGACACGCGTTACGATGGATATGTTAGATGATTGTAATTTACTTGTACAACACCATCTGCTACCTCACAATACGTGATCGCTACATTTGCAAAACTTCACATGGTTTGCAGCCACTGTTATCGCAATTTCTTGAATAAATATAAAATGCCACAATGAGGTTTGAAAATAATTAACTTTTTAGTAAAATCTGGTAGCACTGTTGCGTTAATCACCTGTGAAATAGATAACTGGTTTGTGAAGAAATCAAACATGTTTGCTATCTTACTGGTCACTTTGTAGAAAACACTAGGAAAACAGGTAATCTTCTGCTCATAAACCTGAACTGATGTATTTTCATTGACTATGTATGAACAATATTACTCTTGTGAATCGCCCTACTAATCTAAGATTAACCTTAGGTTTTCACTTAATTTCTACTGTATTCACAGAAATTCAAGACTAATTTGTAAATTGTTTTATAACATTTGTGCTACACTTATGAGACTCATGTCGACAATCGTTTCATTAAGAATGATAACTGTGTGATTTTGTTTTATAAATATAAATCAAATGCACGATATGCACTTATTGAGTACGAATTTTACGGATCCAGCCTCATCAAAGTATCTTTCGAAACAAGGAAGGAGGGGAACACAACGATAATTATCCGACATCGTGCATCCACCAATGAAAACGACGACAACAGCAAACATTAGCTTGATGAGGTGTGCAATCAACATTAAGACGTCCTCAAGAACTAACCTAACAATCCTGATGGCAACCAAACATCAATGTTGGAATGGAGAACACTGGACATGAAGACATCATCAGACTACATGGACTGTCTGAGAGAAAGGAACGAGAATGGTGACAGACCTACAAATTGTTATAGCTATGGAACGCACAAAGTTTTCTCACAAAGACATACACAAAACTACATGCGTTTTATCGAATCACATCCGAGAACCAGATGGATCATAGTTACATAACTAAAATATTGAGAAAGACAATGGGAGACGTGAGAACCAGGAGAGCATTTGGCTTAGCTTAAGATAAACACGTGGTGGATACTAAGATAAAACGAAGCTAAACAAGCACTAGACCACTGAGAAACATCATGACAGAGGTTCAGTAGAGACATTCTTCGATACATTGACAAAGTGCATCGACTCAACGTAGGTCTTAACAACAGGTTCCAAGCTTTACAAGATCTACTGATAGAGAAGGAAATTAATACGGAAGACAATTGATGACGGATCAAAGAAGCACTAAAGTCGACTTGTCAATATGTGCTGGGTCACAACAAGCGTCATCATAGGGAATTGCTATCTGTGCAAACGCTGAACAAGATTCAATCTTGAACAAACAAGAAGACAGCAATTAACAACAAGTGAAAAAGAGGAGAAAAAATCTAGTCACAAGCTGAATATATAATAAGGCTGACTAACGGGTGAAAAAGAGCATCAGAGGTGAAAAGCAGAAGTACGTGGAGACTAAACAACAACAGCGGAGATGGAAGTATGAAAAGACCAGATGACACAACTTAGAATTCGACAGCGCGGATAGAAGGAGTTTACGCAATCTTCTTCTACGTTATGTCGAACATGAGATGGTCGTCATCATCTGCGATTAACAAGTGCACTGCATTGGGAAGTGATGCATGCAGTAGAGCTGAAAGGAGCATCGCGAGTAAATTCCGGATCAAAACAAGGGTGCTCACAATCTCGTTTGCTCTTTCTTCTATCAAATACATCATTAATATCACGACATGTGAGGGCAAGCGCGGGATGCAACCAACATGTCAGAATCAACAAGAAAGCTTGGACATGACGGGTTATCTGAAACTTCAATCCCATACGCACAAGACCATCACAGTGATCGCAGCAAGAAACAGCAAGACTCCCAAGTACAACTCAGAGAATACGAACTCAACATACAGTTGAAGAATTTATGCAACTCAAAAAAACTGTCAACCCAAGTCACAATTTTCAATGCGAACATCAAGACAGTTGGTTCTGCTCTACATAACGGGGACTAAGAGAACTACTACAAATATTATCAAAATGATATAGGTATTTATAAACAGTGATACATAATGTTCGAATGCATTTTTCGTTCATGATTTGAGAATTATTTGAATAACACATTTGTTGCTAGATTACAAAGCAAACTATCCAATCTGCAATAACTTGTCTTCACTCTTAATCAAACGCAGAGCAAACGATTATTCTTTGATTTAAATTGACGAGGATGATAGAAGTGAGAAGACAGATGAATATGCGAATTTTGTCATATAAACATATTGATTTCAACAACATTTAGAGACGTGGTAGTGCAATGATAAGAAGACAAACAGAAGAGTACTGTCGACAATTCTATACTTCCATCGCGCAAACTCTATGTACCCTCGAATTTCTCATAAGCGAAATGGACATTTTATGACTTTGAAATTGTAATTCATGCTATTTCTCAGTTAAAATTTTCAATCAATTTAGCTGGTCGGTTTCATTTTCATAATCACAACGTTGAACATGTACATTCTGAATTTTGTGAAAAACGTTTTGCGAATTTCCATGTTTCATATTCTAATGTAGTTCTCTACTTAACCAACAAACGTTTATTCTTCTAAGTAACTGAACATAAGCGAAATTTACCAGACAGCTTTCCAGTGATAAAGCACGACCAAAGTCAGAAGTTTCAACACGAACAACACGCAAGTTAGTTCTGCTGCATCGTGAGGCAAGCGCCTACATGGAATTCCGAGGTGAAAGTGAAAGGAGTAAGGCCAAATAACACACTGAACAGAGACTCGGAAGCAGACGAGAAAAGGATGGAGAGCGATTGGAAGGGACTGTCCAGAAGAGAGTTGGTTGGTGGCTGCTGATGTGTGGGTAACCTGCATAAGTGATTTCGTCAGCATCAATAACAACTTAAAAGCAATATAACGACACATAATATTTTTGAGTAAATATATGACTCTTCAAAGCAAATGAAATTGTTTTCTGAGTTAATGATCAATCAAAAAAGAAAACAGTATGCACGTCAGATCAGATGACAATAGCGAACACAAGAAATCATATAATCACATAATCGGAGTATGAAGAAGCACCTTGAAATCATCAAACCGAAGTTAAATGAGTGAAGCACATTGAATATTATTCTTATTTCGATAGAGCACTGTGTCAGTTATTTTCAAGATGTTATGACAGTATTTTAGATTTGTTAGCGATATTCTTATTTCAATGTTGTTGATCATTGTAACAACAAGTGTTTAAAACGAAGGTGTTTCGTTCTGATGTGGATGTCGTCATATTTCAATACATTTATTTTAGGAAGCTTTCCACTGAATTCCACGTCATATGGATATCAATATGGTTTGACCAATTAATACTGTGAGAAAATTCTTGCCATCCGATGGAAATGCGTTACAGGTAATACTAACAAAATGGTATATTTAGTTCTCTATACTCGGCGCTCAATTACTCTCGAACTTTTCGTTCTAAGCTTGACAAATATTCGTATAAAATGGTAAACTGTTCTCGAGGAGTTGTATGGAAATGTTGAAATGAGAGGATAAGATGACGATTGTCCTGACTGATTCACTAAACTCTATTCAATTCTCTGCTGATGGAAACTGATCATAACTTTCTACAGTTATGAGGTGAATCTAACAGTCTTTTAATGATGGTGATGATGATGATGATGATGATGATGATGATGATGATGATGATGATGATGATGATGATGATGATGATGATGATGATGATGATGATGATGATGATGATGATGATGATGATGATGATGATGATGATGATGATGATGATGATGATGATGATGATGATGATGATGATGATGATGATGATGATGATGATGATGATGATGATGATGATGATGATGATGATGATGATGATGATGATGATGATGATGATGATGATGATGATGATGATGATGATGATGATGATGATGATGATGATGATGATGATGATGATGATGATGATGATGATGATGATGATGATGATGATGATGATGATGATGATGATGATGATGATGATGATGATGATGATGATGATGATGATGATGATGATGATGATGATGATGATGATGATGATGATGATGATGATGATGGTGATGATGATGATGATGATGATGATGATGATGATGATGATGATGATGATGATGATGATGATGATGATGATGATGATGATGATGATGATGATGATGATGATGATGATGATGATGATGATGATGATGATGACATAGACTATGAGCAGCAATCGAGGAAACATATTGTGCTCGCAAAGCAGGTCATGATCGCAAGCGCTGAGCGCTCAACTCCAATGTGACCCAGAGATTATACGAGCGATTACATAACATCTCACTGCATCGACTAATTAACGTTTATGTGTAAACACTAATACATGGAGAGGGGTAATCGATCAATGCAATCAAGTATTATGAAACATGTACCAAGATGGCCTGAAAGTCAGTTAATACCAACTGTTCCGAGAAACATGGAATGTAGAAGACTATATTCATAGATAGAATAGCACGTAATTGAAATGAGGCACAGAATTGAAATCAGTACCGCTTTAAAACGCAGTAAAAAAATTGTGAAAGACTGCTTTTTAGGTTGATGGAATCTTCAGTCATTCGTGAATACAAACCACTTATAAGTAAAAACGCAATTTGCCATACTCTTGATTTTGCCCTGACTATCCTTCAGTTATTTTATGGACTAGAGTAGTGCCAAAATGTCATGCTTTTTGTACGATGTTAATTTTCTCTCTCTCTACCTTATGTAAAATTGTACTCCGTTTAGTTGAACCTTCATTTAATCGATTTCCATAGATTACTAATTATTATTCTGCTTCTAGCGGTGCACTACAAGTGAAAATACTTTGTGAGCAAGTTCCTTGTTTATAATGAACAGTTAATGTCCTACCATTAGTTGACCTTGACAACTAATGTGTATTTGGAATGTGTGTGATATAAATAGAAGCAATACGGGGTCTTGTTTATGCTAATTTACGTTGCTCATTTTTAATCAATAGATCAATCTGCCCTATCAAGTTGATGTCACAGATCTGAGGTTGAATTCAGAATTGGTCATTTCTGAAAATGTTTAGCGCTGCTCATAGTCATATGTGACATGATCTGTAGTATATCGGTCAATGTCATTCCTAATATCATCTCATTCTCGTTGTTCTTCCATCTACACTGACACATCCCTACCGTTGTTCGTAGAATAATGTCAATTGACTCAAGGCTGGTAATAATCTAATGAGGAAACATTTCAGTTCTACTGTCGTCACCTTTTCCTTCACCTGTATATATTTCTAGTTTATATGTGAATATAAGTGTCACGATGTATTGAGGCGTGTGTAGTTGTATCCCGTTTCCCAAAAGTGTCTTTAAATCCAGTATTATAGACAACTACGGCGAGTGCATATAATGATGATTCCGTCAGTTGTTATGCACTTTGGTGAATGTAAATTTCAGTGAAACAGTATATGGATCACATTTTGATTACCGATCTTTTCTATTTTGACGTACTTGGAAGAAGAATGAGGTAGACAGAATGAAACTTCAATTTATTCAATATCAGTCTGATGATAAAATCATCGTGTTCTAGCATTCTTGTGACCGAATTTGGTGAGTGGGACCGAGGTAGTGGACCGATAATGCTGAAGTAGTGTTGATCATAGTACTAGAGGTAATGATATTAGCAGAATTAGTGGTAACAGTATTAGTCATAGTAATATTAGGTGCTGGAACCACGTGAGCTTACGTCTGGCAACATACATCGTGGTGATGAAAATATTAGACATGAGGAATGTGTCAGATGTGCTGAACAACGGTTCGTATCTTTTCGATGGTGTGTTAGCTGATAGATGATTGTATATTATTTATTGATCTAAGAATAATGTAGTCGACTATGTATGGTGTTTGAACGAACTGATGATATCTTTGTACATGTTCAGTGCTCGATTTAGAATTCCAAATACAATACATTCGTTTGTGTTTGTATCATACTTCTTGATTCAATTGCGTTAATTCTGGTATTCTTAGTTCATACGATAATTCAAATACTTTCAAATATTATACTATGTCAAATACATTACGTTGAATTTGAATGCTGAATTAGTGTGGACTCTGAAGTGAGGGATTGAGTGTTCTTCATTAGCTCGGTATTTTGATAGCCAGACTTAGTGGGAGATGTATCAAATGAGCCTGTGAAATTGATTGGGGAGTTTACCTAAGAGGAAAGGGTGGGAGTACTCTGTGATGGAGACTGTATGGAGGAAACAAATAAGTCGTTTGCATATGGTTTGAAATAACTTGGGCTATATGTTTAAACAGAGGTGTCACTAGGGTTCTTTTTCCAGAAAACTCTTGTACAGGCCTACTGCAAAGTGTATGGTGACTTGTAAAATAGTCTTGTTCGTTAGATTCTTTGCCTCTGTTATGGCTAATTACGTTTGCAAGAGAAGGGTATCCTGCGCGCAACTGGATGGACTTGCGACTGTCAATATACGTGGGAGCCGTTTTTATGTGATGAGTTGGTACTAAAAGCCGTAAAACGTTTTCTTTCTGAAATTATTTACAGTTATGATCCTGGGGAATGTACATTGAGTGTGGAGTTGGAAACCTATTATTAACATTCATATTAATGATTTCAGACTTAAGGAGGCGATTTGGATTGCCAGTTCTCTGATAGTTCTCATTAGTCTGCGTGTGCGTGGTGCGCGAGCACTTAACCACTAGACCACTGAGCCGGCCTCCGACGGTGTTAATGTCTAACTTCATCCAATCCACAAAGTTGTGCCACCGCACACCATTGTCTTCAGTGAGTTACTATCTCACAACAGACCTAATTGAACTCCACAGGTAACGGCTTCTCACTAGAACTCCAGGAGATTTTCCTGAAGACAGTCACTAGTGAGCAGTTGATAATTATCGGAATGGGTTTTATGCGAGTTTAGAAATTTCACAAGTTGAAATCAAGAGTCGAATGAAGCTAGACTATAAGGCTTGTTACACTGAAGACCACCACCCATTTTGCAACGTAGAGGTGTTGAAGGCAAGTTATACGGTAGCAGCGGGGTGAACCTGTCCACTGTTACGTTCAATCTTACATGTTTCCATATTCGGCTTCCTGTGTCTTATCTGCCCACCCTTTATTGTCAGAGCTGGAGACTTTCGTTGTCTCTGTGAGATGAACTCAGGATCATTCAAGTCTACTTATGGAATATCTTTAGGAGAACTAATTTTCAAGTGTATAGGTTTAGTTGAATGTGAGTTGTCACATGACTCACATTTTAGTACTTTACTGAGCGAACAGCCGGTATCAGTCATGTCGTCATGGTTTTTGGTGACAAATGGGGTTCGTATCTTATCCAAATGTTTCTGATCAGCAGACATATCTAGATCAACAGAGCGATCAGCTGTATGTGAAGTCGTGTCACGCTTATTGTTCGTGTGTTTTAAACTATTTGCTGTGTTACAAACTGTGTCTGGCTGATTGTTAACTGAAACACTCCCATTCAATTCTATCGCTTCACGTCTTCTCACACGACGTTGACAGGACGTAAGGTCTGGAGTGACTTTTACATTTTTGTATGGAATTAGTGAGCTAATATTTTTGCTCAAATCAATAAACTGTTTAGCGTCGTTACAACAGACAAACATAAACAGGAGGGGGCAAGTTGATCCGTCAGACTTTTTTCTAAGTCGGATGACTTTGCAATTAACGTTCGGCATACCGCATGCTCCAAGGTAAATATCAATTACCATAGATGGGTGTGTGCGGTCGGGGAGGAAATACACAACTGCATTGAAGGGAGACATCACTCTCTTCGTCACTTCTTGAGCCGCAAACTCCAAAATACACTCAGCTTTAGTGAGTTGCCTAAGATTTATGTCTGTGTCGAGGTCCCACACATGGGTGAGGGGGGGTGCTAGTTGCGCATGTTTGCCGTTAATTTCGGATAGAGAGTTTTGTATCTGTCGGATGTCATTACTATATCTATCAGTATTTTGATGTGTATGAGGTGGACCATTGGACTCTCTAGCTGTGGAAATTTTAGACTTAGGCCTTGTCAGCACATCCTGTCCAGTAGACTGTGCTGACTTTTCGATGCACGTAGGTATAGTGTCTTGTATGTCAACCAGTCTTACCGTTGGCATACTGCACGTAGAGATAGAGGGGCTGCGACATGGAGAATCTGGTGATGATAGAGACATTTGTGTACAATGCACATATTGTTCAGTAGTTAAAGTTTCGACATTGTCAGGCACTGAGTCGTCATTTGTAAGGATCGCCGATTTGAACCTTTTATTTGGCTTGGAAGTTGGAGAAATTTCTCTTTCACTGGACTTGTAGTGGTAAATAAATCCTCAAAATAAATAGCTGTAAGTTTTCGACATTGGATGCTGATCACATTAGTTATAATGGACTCATCTAACTGAAGGCACTCGGTCATGCATCCGCACCAGATGAGGTGTAGGAACGCCGCGTTCTACATCTACTGTAATCGCTAGCCAGACAAGATCAAACCATTCTCGATATATTGACAGTCAACAAATATATCTTCCATCTCCTCGATTCTGTCTTCTGATATCTCTTGGTGGGTACGCTTCATATTAGGTGTTATTGTCAAACACTGAATACCTGTGCCATCTTCATTGGTGAGGCTAATGTGATCTGGTACACCAAATCGTAAATTGTGAGTCTGTTCCATTTCGTTAATCTATATATCATTGCTTTATTTTAATTTCTTATGCACTGTGATATTTTTCACTCGTGTATTCTCGTACTTAAAATTTCCCTATGACTGAACAGGCCCCAAGTTATTCAAGATTAAGACTATGTCCCCACCATCGTTCCAACTCATGCCCTTCTGGCCCGACAATATCAAAGCCTGGTTCTGCTACGCAGAAGCCGACTTTCACGAGCACGGCGTGAACGACACACGTGCACAATTCCTCGCCGTAGTCAAGGCACTACCGCGGGAATTCAACAGGTACGTAACACCTAGTATGTTTACTAGGGATGTTTCTGAACCGTACGAAACGTTAAAGAGTTCTATCCTTAAACGTGGAGACCTAAATGATCGACAAAGTTTAGACCAACTGCTTTATAACAAAGACCTGCAACACGGTTCTGCGACGGACTTGTTGCAAAGAATGAGCGAGGTTATAGGACAAAGAACTTCCGACGAAGGCCTATTCAGTTAAAGTTTCTTGTACAAACTTCCA